GCCGCGAATTGAACATGCTTTATCTCAGTTATCTCCAGAGAGGGAACGTCATTTGCCCAAAACCACACAGGTTACAGCAGGGATGGAACCTGGATTCCAAGCCGGGCTTCTCTGAGGCCACCGTCTGAAGGGTCTTCAGACGTTCTGTGTAGGGGGCTGGGTGGGGGGGGGGTGACAGAAGGAGGCTGGTAGGTGGCCTTGGGCCCCTTACAGCCCTGTCTTAGCCAGAGCAGCTTCCATTTGTCCCTCTGACCCTGTGGCTGGAAATGAAGTAGAAAAAGCCCCAGGGACTACCCCACTCAGAAACTGGGGTTGCCTTTCCCTTTTTGTTTGAGTCCTCGTGGTTTCACTGATAAAGCCATTTTGAATTCGAAGTCAAGATTTGCTATTTGATTAGCTTGCCAGGTGAGCCCGAAAGAAACACCAGATGAACTAACTCTTTGGATGCAAGTTACAGACAATAAGCAGAGAATACTTTCCTTGCTCCAGCCCAGGGGTGCTGGGGGAGAGGGCCCACCTCCCCAGGCCCGGAAGGAGCAGGGAGCCGAGGCAAGCCTGGCCTGGGAGCTTTAGGAGGGGAGCCTCTCAGAAGCCCTGCAGATGTCCCCCCAAGTTAACACAGGTAAACAGCTGACCTACATACTCTAAAGGCGAGCCGTTTCAGACTGATCAGTGACGTTCTGAAGACTGGTTTTCTTTGGGAAAATTTTCTTTTAAATTCGGCAACTATTGGCACTTTTTAATTTTTGGTATTTAATACGTCTTTAACACTTGGCTGAGAGGCTGGAGTTCAGGCAGAGAGAAAGTTAAAATGTTAAGGAGCTTTGCCCTTTGAGGTAGAAATGTTGAAAAAGCATCCAGGAAATTCTCATCAGTGAGGAAAGCAGGACTGCAGGCATCTACAGCCATGTGGCAGCGCCCCCCCGCCCCCCCCATATCCCAGCAAGGGCTGTGCCTGTGCACGTGGAGCCTCGGCTCCAAAGCCACTGGTCTTGCTCTGGACCTCGTCACCTCCTGGCGTCGGTTGCCACTAGATGACTTGGAACAAAAATTGCAGTTTCTGCATCCAGGTGAGACGCTTTCCCAGGACAATTTCCACCTCTTTCAGCCTAGTTTGAAGTGCCCGTGTGTTCAAGAGCCCCCATGGTTTTGCTGCCAGCCCTGCCACCTCCCCACCCCTTCGGACCTGGGGCTGTCGGATGTTTAGAATATTTCTACATCGTTTTGGAGGGGACGCCCTCCTCTGCTCTTCCCTGGGAAAGTTCTGGCCCGGGTGAGCAGTGTTTTCTGTAACCAGCCACGTCCTCCTTGTTCCTAAGCCCAGAGACTGGCCAGTGCGCAGCGCGTTGTGCAAGAAACAGCTGTTGTTTTGACAAAGGATGGGCTGGCCTTACTTTTTGAATTACCAGAGTGAGTCAAGAGGTCATCTATTCCAGGCCTTTGCTCCTGGGCAGGTGGACAATGCAGACCGTGAACCCTCGTGTGTGGGACGCATGATGTAAAATATATTTCTGTATGTAAACCTGTATTTTTTCACATTAGCAGGATTTAAGAAAGGAACGTATATATAGTACAGTTTTTCCAATTTGGTAATACATGCACGTGGCTAAAATGGTCAGAAGATGTACAGTTGACCCTTGAACAGTGAGGATTAGGGGCGCCGACCCCCAGCATAGTCGAAAATCCACGTATAACTTTTGATGCCTCTGAAACTTAACCACTCAGAATCTACAGTTTCCTGGGAGCCTTGACCAATTTAGCATAAGTAGTCGATTAACTCGTACTTTGTATGTCACATGTATTATATACTGTATTCCTGCAATAAAGTCAGCTAAAGAAAAGAAAATAGTATTAAGGAAATCATAAGGAAGAGAAAATACATTTACGGTGTTGCGTTATAAAAAATGCCCACCTAAGTGGCCCCACGAAGTTCAAACCCGTGTTCTTCGAGGGTCAGCCATCCGCTGAAGGGCAGGTCCATCTCCCCTCCACCCCCAAAGCCTTCTCAGAGCCAAGCAGTTACAAATATCTTTTGTATCTTTCTGGAGACAATCAAAGCTTATGCAAGGATATGTATAGATACCCTTTCAAACAATACTAGCATTGTTTTTGCACTTTGCTCTTTTTGCTTAAATATATCTTGAAGATCATCCCATCTCCTGTGCATATGGGACCTTTTTTTTTTTAAACCGTTATCAAATGATCCTTGAGTGGATACGTCAACGCACTCTTTGTTGGATACTTCAGTTGGTTCCCAGTTTTTGCTTCCGCCTTCCCCTTTTTGTGAGGTTTTAGTGCTTTTCGGATGTGGGGACTCTCCATGCTTTTTTTTTCTTTTTTTTTTTTTTAAATAAGTGATCAGTGACTCAGGGACTGAGGGTTCTGTATTTTAGGCCCCCACTGCCACCTCCCCTAAACCTATTAAATTCCCTTGTTAATGTGTCATTATATTTGACACTTTGAGAATAGGCAGGCCGGGTAGATAATAAAACAGTATTTGGCTTATGTTTAATAGCTGTCTCTTCTCTGCATTGTCCCAACAGCCTTAGAAAGCCTCGGTGTCCTTCAGAAGGACTCGGTGGTGGTTTTGCAAGCGACCCGGTCAAGGATCATGAGCCCTGAGTCTGACCAACCAAACCCGGGGCATGGCAAGCACTGGCTCTCCTCCTTGCCGTGCCAGTCTGTTTCCGTGGTGGCGGGTGGTGGCGCTCTATTAAATTAGGAGCCTCCCGGTAGTTTCTCATGTGGACCTGTGTATGTCTGCACACATGGGGAAGGGAGTGTGGGGGGCCCATGGCGGGTCCCCAACAGCCAGCAGCAGGTCACCCCAGGCACACTGGCCCCACGGCTTTGTGACAAAGGTGGGTTTGCTGCCTTCTGTCAAGGGACCTGTCCCGGGCTCAGCCCTTCTGAGTTGGGCTTTCTGACGGATGTGCCCGTGGGGCTCCTTGGCACCAGGCTGGGCTGGACTCCAGTGAGAGGGACATGTGGGGACCCCAGGGCTCTTGTGTGTCTCCCGCGGCACTGCCCCCAGCGTCCCCACGCTGGTCCCCCCTGGATGGGGAGGTGGGGGGCGGGTCAGGGCCGGGCCCCACGGTCACCTCTGTGCCCCCAGCATCCAGCGGTTCTGGCTGACTGGGTGACACCCCCTCCCAGGAAGGAGGGTCCTCCTTGAAAGCAGCCCGAGCTCTTTGTTTTTCCCCACGTTTTCTGCATCTGCGGGCGATGGGAACAAAACATCAACTCTACTTTTTCTGTCATATTTCAATATTGGCGTTGCTCCCCACTTCTTGAAGCCTCCTTTTATAACTTCTGCTGCTGCCGCTTAAATATAGCCGTCTAAGTCCTCCTCCTTACCAGATTGTTTATATTTTTGAAAAGCCTTCTGCTTATCTGCGATTGCTCTCTCTTCGCCGTCTCCGTCCCCGCATCGCCACATTGGTTTTGGTTGCTCTTTTTTTCCTGCCTTCACTCGACTGGGATGTGTTTCAAATGTGGTCTATCAAAATGTGCAGTGTTTCCCTCTTTTCTGCAGTAGCTTTGACATCTGTTCTTGAATCCTAGCCCATGTTATTCTTTTGGACTTGTTTGCCCAAGATTTGCTGTAATGCCAGAAACACGAAAGGGGAGAGTGTGGCGGGGGGGGTGTCTGTGCCCCCTCCCCCACTGCTTCCCCCCCCTTAAAACTGTCTACGATTTCCAGGTCGACAGCACGCTGGATGTTGGCTCCAGTGCCCTGTCGTCTCGTCTGGCAGGGGCCCACCCTGTCGTGTGCGAGTGGAGCTCCCACCAGGAGGCCCTGCAGACCTGCTTGGGTTACTTCCGCCCAAAAGGGAAGCAGGTGGAACTTCGTGGGGGGGCCGGGGGTGTGGCGGGGGGGCACTTGCAGGCTTCCTGGGCATCTCTGGAAGGATCTCCATCTCTGATTACCCTTGCCTTGCGGTCTTTGATTGGGTCCTTGCTCTGCTGGGCCTCAGGGGAGGGGCCGTACCGCGGAGAAGCCACCGGGAGCAGCCACACTGAATCCTAAGCCGACTGTGTCTTTCGTCATGGAGGCCACTCAACGAGCAAAGGGGCCTTTCGGTGACCATGGCCGCGTGTCCTTGTGCCCCTGCTGTCAGCCAGGACACCACTCTGGGCCCATCTGCTGCAGCTTTGTTTGAAACCGGCCCTGTTGGCAGCGTCTCCCAGAATTCCTGAGGCCAGGGCACAGGTTCTCTGATGCTTGAGTGTCATTTTGTCATGTGGGCAGAGGTCCTCTTACAGGGGACCCCCCGCTCCTGGCGGCTCTCAGCGTTTCAGTATGAGGAAAATAGTTGGAGGATAACCAGTGTTTCCAGGTGCCTCATTTTCAAATGACTTGACCACATCCTGCAAATCACGATTCTTGGAAATTGCCTCTTAAAGGTCCCTCCTGAAAACGAGTAACAGGTTAATTTGGATAGTCCTGGATGTGGTGCCTCGCGTATATTAGAACCACAGTAAATGCTATTAACAAAAGCAAACCAAGTATCACCGCAAAAGATCCCAGGCCCACACTGTTGAAGACAAATAGATTAGCCCACTGAGAAGCCCAGGGTAAAGCTGAAGAACCAGGGCTCAGAGATGGGTCAAGAAGGAATGCTTGTTACGAACAGAGACGAGCCACTCCCGGGTGGGATGGCATCTGGGCATCAGCCTGACTCAGGGTTTAGGAAAGAGAAACATATTGCGTCTGTCATAGAAGCAGACATTTGTGAGGTGCGCATGGAAACAGGGCACGTCGGCCTGAGCCAGTTTGGTGTTCTGGTACCAGCACACGGGATGGAGGGGAACTGCCTCAGTGTCCACTCCGCCCCCCCCCCCCCCCCCCCCGCCGCCGCCCCCAGCCCCCTGCTGCCCGGGAGCTGAGAATTCCCGGAGTTCGGGGGCCTCTCCTGGGTTCCGGTCAAATGCAAATGCGATATCCTCTGGTACGCAGCGCAGTGACAATCTTGTCCTCCATTCTTGTGTCTCCACAGAGGGAACTCGATGCCACCGCAACAGTACTGGCGAACCGGCAAGATGAAAGCGAGCAGTCTAGAAAGCGGCTTATCGAGCAGAGCCGAGAGTTCAAGAAGAACACTCCAGAGGTGAGGCCACAGTACCGTCTCGGTGAGGGGTCTCCGCATCCCCGTCCATATTCAGGAGCCGCGTTGGAAGCAGACTGTGTTCTCCTCTGCGGCCTGGGGGACTGGGGCGCTGGTAGGCTGTCTGGATGCCAGAAGGCATGAGCTCATTCCAGAGGCAGATACCGACCCAGTTGGTTGGTTGCGAGCACGTGGCCCGTTGTGTGGCCCATGCGGGCCTCTGGGCCCCCGCGCTCCTTGCCCACGTCTGTTAGCACGCCACCCCAAGTCCTCAGGAGCACTGAGCATAGTGGGATGGGGTGTGGGGGGTCCTCAGAGGGCCCCTTCCCTGGTGTGGTGGGTGGCTGCACCCATCTGAGGATGCAATGTGCCGATCCTTCCTGTAGAACAGACATTTAGCCTGGTAGGGCCTGTTAAACGCTTCTGTTTCCTGAAATATGCTTTAAAGGGCACTGCAAACGTGCTCCTCACGGGCTCCTTTTTTTTTTTTTTTTTCCCCTTGTAAGTACATGTTTGAAAGGCAGTGTTTAGAGGGGCTCGGGCAGCATTTTCCCAGTCTGTTGCCCAAGCTCCTCGTTCCCTCAGTCCCTATCAAAGGCTTTGTAAGACGTGAAAAACAAGGAGAGTTTGAGAGACAGTTGAACAGATGTGGGAATTGCTTTCCGGGAGCTCCTGCCGGTTTGTCCCACGATGGTTCTCGTGCCATGGGCCCTCGCCCCAGCCTCCTGCACCCTCCCCCTCAGGTGAGAGCGGATTGCAGGTGCCCACGTGCCTCTGCGGAGGACAAAGGAGCAGGTCTGGAAGGAAAGCTGCCTTCTGGGAGGCATGCCTCTGATTTGCCCAGTATTCCTGAAAAAAATGACGTGCGATTTGAACTTTTTAAAAGTAGACTCGTTTCCGGTGTGCCAAAGTAGCTTGCTGTTCAAGGGCATGCAGTTGTCAGTCATTTTGGGAAACAAATAATTAACCCTCTATTTTAAGAATAGCTGTTTGGGGGAGAAAACAGGATAGCCCAGTGGGAAGCAAGGGGTCTCTCCAGGGGCAGATCCCCTTAAGGGTTTTAAATTTTAGACCCGCTACCCCCACCCTCCTTACCCTCACCCGGCCTGCCCTTAAATGTGGCTCTTGCATGCGTTATCCAAGCAGAAGTCCACACTGTAGCGATCCGTACCAGGTTGCCCTCTTCCGCGCGGGGATGGGGGAGCTGCTGCGCTCCGTGGTCCACCTTGTCACCAGTAAAGACTGGGGCCGACAAAGCAGCCAGGCAGCAGGACGCCCTTCTTCTAGTCGCTCTCCTCCTGTCCGGCTGCTTCAGAGCAGGCCTTCCTGGAGGGTCCAGCTGTGGGGTTTCCCGAGCTCTCCTCCTTGTCCTTGACCCCGTCTCCTGGCCGATCCCCTTCACCTCTGTCTCTCCGGCCACTCTTCACACTGTTCCAATAACGAGCTGTCACCCCCTGTCCTGGGTTCTTACTTCCCTTCCCTTGCTGACCCCAAGTCCAGGGGTTTCCGTAGAAAATCTAAAGCAGAAGGTCAAGGTCATCCTTCCAAGGCAGCAGACAACACTAAGTAAACATGACCTGTCCTGTGGTAAGTGCTGTGAGGAGTGGAGAATTGGGTTCCTGGATGTTCCTCTGGAGGCCCAGGCTCCTGTCAGGTCCAAGAGCTGGGGCCCCCTGAGGTGGGGGGGTGTTTCCCCTCGGACCCCTGAGGGCCTAGCTGATAAATTCTGGGTACAGCCCCTCCACTGACATGGAAACAGGGGACCAGCTCACAGAGCTTGAGGAAGCCCCACCTGAAATGTTGCATTTCTCTCTCCCGATCCCAGTAAATAGAAGAGGCTCAGGGAAGAAGCGGCTTGGGTGGTAAATGACATTTGGGGCATTTCTTTGCAGGGCACATTTTTAGACACTGTCTTCCATGGAGAAGGGCCCTGGCCTTTGCCAGAGGGTCAAGGCTAGTGCTTGCTCAGGCTTCTCCTTCTGCGGTAAGGAGAGTCTTGCTGCCACAGGAATTTCCAGGAAGCTGGGAAGGGTGAAGCTGTTTACAGGCTCCCGCATTTCCCCTTGCATTTTCCTAATCCCAGGTCCATCCTTGAAATCTGGGTGGGGTCCCTGTGGGAACCCCGAGGCGAGAACAGGTGGAAAAGACAGGTTCACTTATGCCAGCAACCAACCAGAATTCTCGGTAAATAGTGAAGCCACCGAAGGCCAGAATGGGGGTGGGGGCGAGTAGCTATAGCCAAGTACTCTGGGGTACACGGAGGGAAGGAGTACGTGCGTGTGTGGGCGGTGGGGCGGCTGGATCTGGTGAGTCCGGGGCCTGGGGTCCAGAGGGGGTATTCTATTGTCTGTTTGTTTGGGGTCTCAGTGCGGGGCGGGGGGGGGGGCCCTGATATTTCTCCAGCATCAGTTATTTCTTGTGACTCTACTGCTGGGCAGACCACTCAGCACCTGAGCAAATTAACACTTATTGTCGAGGAAACTCTTTTAGAGATTAAGCATATAAAAATGAAGGTTGCTTAGGACTTTGTTCTCAGGGGTTAAAAAAAAAAAAATTGGTTTGTTGGCGGGAAAGGCGTCTTCCTCGGGTGGACTCAGACCAGGATGCTCACGCCTCACAAAGTTGGGCCTCCAGGTGAGGAGCAGGCCCTTGTTCCAGGGTGAACAGCGTGGCAGAGTCAGGGCCATGGTGTGCCCGCTGGTTTGCACCTAGGGTGCCCATGGCAGATGAAAACACTGCGGGCCCTCTTTGTTCTGGGGAAGAAGACAATGCGCTCCTAGTGTCTACCAAACAGCTAGTGAATCTAATGTGCAGGATCAGGCACCAGAGAAAAGTCAGAGGTGAGTAAGGTGGTCTCCCTGTATTTTCCAACGTGGCCCTGCCCAAGGGCAGCTGGAAAAGCTCAAGTGCAGAGGGAAAGGTGGGTTCTGCAGGTGGCCTCGTAGCCGCGGGCGGCTCCTTCCATGCGGGATGGGCCACAGGAGCACCGAGGAGCAGGTGCCGCGCTGGCCAGAGCCTCGAAGGTTTCTCATTTAAAGGACTTTTTTAAAAAAAAGTTTCAGTTTTGTCATTAGAATTAAACATTCACAGTCAGTTGATATTATCGCTTATGTCTTTTTAACCCCCAAATTGTAGTCAAGTTGAAGAACATTGCAATTACTTCAAAAATAAAGTTTTATACATTGCTTTGATTCAGAAAAATCCCTTTCAAAGAAAAGTGGTTTTTAATTTTAACTTTGTAACGAAACATCCATTCCCTATTGAATTAATAATTGAGCATTGAACATAAAAGACTGGGGTATTTCTAGGTTCTGTCACTTTCCATACAGATTACCTCAGGTGACTTATAGCCTGGTGGCTCTGGCAGACTGCTTAGCTTCCCAAAGTCTCAGTTTTGTCACCTATCCAAAGTGTGATGATAGGGCCCGGCTCCCAGGGTTGCTCTGTGTGTGTGTAGTGTATGGTGTGTATTTCTCTATGTGTGTGTGTACGGTGAACTTTGTGTGTATGGGTGTATGATGTGTATTTGTGTGTATATGTGAATGGTGTGTATTTTTTTGTGTATGTATGTGTATGGCATGTATATTTGTGTGTGTGTATTTGTGTATGTGCGCATGAACGTGTGGAGGGCTTCGCACAAGCCTGGCGTCTAGAGTCCGGGACGTGTTCGTTACTGGTGTGAACTTGGAACACACTGCGGAACACGGCCGATTTCTGCTCCTTAAAGCTAGCTCAGGCAACTTTAAAACAACACAACAAATGTAGGTAGTTTCAGCTTAAAATATTTCAAAAGTTGGTTTGTGGTAATAGGTAATCGTTTTACAAATACTTTTTGAACACCTTCCATGTGCCAGATGGTTCTACCCTGAGGATACAATCCTATCCTTGTTCTTGAAGAGTTCCTTATCTTTCTTAGCAGCAAGCACAACATCCTGATCTGGCATGTGAAGTGCTAGGATGGTAGAACTGGAATCTTCCAAATGCAGACTTGCGCCCCAGAAACACTGTCAGCGGTGGTAAAGCTCTAAGCCACATAGGCCTCTGGAACCCTTACTTAGGTGAATCAGGCTGCTTTTTGCGCCTTGGTTCTCAACCTTTGAAATAGTGGTGAATGGAAAGGACCTGCTGCCCTAAGAAATGCACATGAGTAGTTGCTCCTGGCCTCCCTGGAACTCGTCTGGGAGCCCCCAGCTCCGAACACAGCCCCTGAGACACACATTTGCAGCCGTGCTGTGCCATGCCAGGAGGGCTCCAGTGGGGGGTTCTGGGGAGGCAGGTTGAGGAGTGGGCCCACCCCCGGCGGGATGAGCAGGGGCCAGCATCTCTGCGCTGGCCAGCGCTCTCCTCCTGCCCGAGGCTGGTGAAGGGCGAGGTCAGGCTGGTGGCATGTGTGCGGGAGGGGCAGCCTTGGCTTTCTCGAAGGTTGGTCGTGGTCGAGCTGTGTGCAGTGCAGGCCAGAAAGCGCTTGCCTTCTGCTCTTCTGTTGCTTTGATCAGGGTTCCCAGGTACAGGCCAGGATGGCTTTTGATGCCCAATGGATAGCCATATTGATAGAGCTGACTGCAGAGCGGATTACCAGGGACATGGAAGCATGCGGGGATGTCCAGAGCTAGCCAGGGATGCTGGGCCAACTCCTCACTCCTGGAAACGAAGGCATTTCTTGAAAGTCAGGGACCTCGAAGGGGACCATGCTAGGGATTCATGACTTTTTTCTTGTGCTTCCATCAGCTAAGTTTGCTCCCTGGGCCAGTTCGTCTTCACCACTTGGCCCAGGCAGTGTGGACCCTGAGTTGGTGCTGTGACCTGCAGGGCGCTGAGGTGGATGGCAGCGCAAGGCCCTACAGCGAGGTCCCGGGGCGCTCTGGAATGCTCAGCTCACAGAACTGTCCTCAGTGTTCGATTTGCTTCCACAAAGAGCATGGGCTCTTGTTTGTTCTGTTCCAGCTCTTTTCGATAGGGAAGAACCATCCTTTGCCTGGGGAGGGGGGGAGGAGGGGCAGGAG